TGAAACAAGGTTCTATGCATAAAGGTTTGTCACATTCACTACATTCATAAGAAGTATCTTTTCTTGATTGGGGATTTAATTTTGAATTATAATGGACATGACATCTTCTGGAMATTTTTTTTTWAACTTCTCCAGTATTGATTCTGGTAGGGAAATGACGAGCTGTAAGTCTAAGCGGTAATTCGTCTTTTGGTTTACGCCCTACACGACTAGGTGATATATTATCAGACAAATGAGCATGTAACATTTGCTCGATTAATTTCAACCTAAATYCTGGCAACTTCAAAGTTTTTTTTTCTACGGTACTACATACAATTCCCGAATTAAGTACACATAAATCAAGTAAATGAAAAAAAAAWTTTTTGTACCATWWTATGGACTTCCTGGAAGTCGTATTGAACGAAATTTGCATATCTGATTTATCAATCAAGCCCATATTTGCATTGTAATCAATTACACATTCGGGTTTATGTATATCATTTCCATGCCTATCCTGTTTATTTGTTTTCTTCATTATGGGTTTATGAACTGTGGATAGCATATGTACATCCCTTTTGTCTTTCCACTTACAACATATCATATTAGGGGTTGTTGATGTAGCAGAAATACATTCACCAACGTTTAACTTTTTAGGGAAACTAGGCATGCCTTTTCTTGTATTTTTTACCGTACCACATGCTCCGGTACCTTTTTCCAATAAATATTCAAATAATGTTGGGGATGAGTACCAGTTATCCATATAAATTATATGTCCTTTATTTACGTAGGGCTCCATTAACGTCGATATCACTGAACCAGACAGTTTTAATGTTTCGTTTATAGTTATATGTGTATTATCACCAGTATAAATTAAAAAGTCAAGAACAAAACCAGATTTACAATCGCATAAAACAAATAACTTTATGCCAAAACGATGGCGTTTTGATGGAATGTATTGTTTAAATTGAAGTCGGYCTTTCCATTCAACGATACTTTCGTCAACACACACTTTTTGATGAGGCTGGTATGTAAAACTAAACTTTTTTCGGAGGGACTCTACAATTGTTCTTATTTTAAATAATCTATCTCCGGGAATCTGATTGCGATTATCACTGAAATGAAGGACTCTCAATAATAACAGGAACCTATCTTGAGTCATAATTTTCCCAAAAATTGGTGTGGATAGTAATGACGAAGTAGACCAATAATCTTTAATATTATTTTTTTTCACATGTGGCATTAATAACATAAGAGAAAAAAAATATATACATTTCGTTTAAATTTGTATCTTTCCATTTACCTAGCTTCGAATGTTTTGATAAAACTGTATTGTTTACTAGAAAATGGTAGAACTTATTTGTCTCATCAACAATATGTTGGACCAGGTCTTCA